TTAACTACATTTTTATTTTGTGGCATCCACTTGTATATAGCATGGTTTGTGTGGGGATTTTTTTTTAATTTGACCAACAATTATTCCATTATTTATACATCAATGTTGAGTCCCTTCTGTTCCAACAGCCAACAAAGGAAGTACTACAGTGTCACCAATTATATGCTCTCACAAAATATTGACCATCAGTCTTTGTTGGCTCTTTCTGTAATTGTTTAAATGTTTTCTCTTTGGATGAAGATAGTAAGTTCACACCAACAGTCTGGGATTGAAAAACAAATAGTGCTTGTTGGATTGAAAAATGTACATGCCATGTTTTTAAGAATACATAGACTGAAATGTCTAACCCAATTCAGAAAGGGCTATACCACAATCAGTTTATTCTTTTAAAAGATCTGTATTGGAAATGATCCAGTTCAATACAATTACAGTTAATATAAAGTTTGTTTCTTCACCACAAGACCTACTTCTTGAGTCCCACTGATGTCTGCTGTCATTGTGTCATTGCCTGAAGCCCCTGCTGAAAGATCTCAGCCCCTATAGACCCACCACCTGCAGGAGGATCAGAGAGGGGCTGGTGCTCTGTGAACTGGGTGCAGCTCTGACTACCACCCCTGACCCAGAAATGGATTAAGGGGAAGAAAATGTATGGATGGACTATGTAATATAATCAATCCAACCATAGTTTCCTGGCTCTAAAACAGTCTGGTTCTATGACTAGCTTTCATTTTATGGGAGCTTTTTCAGACAGAAAAGTTAACAAGAGAAGCCAATCCACCAGAGTCAAATAGTGAGTATGCTAAAGTTTTCCAACAAGATAAAGATCGAACGCTGTGATCTAAAGTATTTGTTCATTGTTCTGTTGGATCATGCAAAATGTATGATTCATGGAAAAGATTAGGTTTTCCAGCTTTAAGCATTTTAGCCACGATTAAGGCTCACAGACATGGGATGAGTGACATTATGATTTTAACCCTGCCCAAGGTTTTACAAGAGTTCTTTTAAACAGAAAAAAAGTTGAACACCTACAAACCGTGCCATTTTTGAGTGAGTCGTGCGTCGATGCTCAGATGCCTTTGTTGTTTTCACATTTACACAGACACAGTGAGACACCAGTGGGACAAGCCTCAGATATGGCACATCCATCCCCCCAGGGGCCTCCACAAGAAAAACAACATCTTTACAAACTAAAATTAACTCAGGAAATCTGGATCAGTGAAACACCCTAAAAAACTCACAGATTTTCTCAACATTTTGGGGAGGTGGTGGGAGACTCGGACAAACTTTACTCACAGGACATTGCTCACTCATTACAATATGAGATCAGGCAGAAGTACTATGAAAAATAAAGTTAATACTTACTTGCATTTTTTGATTGAAAATGTGTGAATTTTTCAAAGCATTTTAATTTTTTCAGGGGCATATTGAATTCTACTGGGACGTCTCTATCAACTATTTCTGTGGATGGTATGGTAAACAGCTACAACATGGCCTTGATGGATTATGTGTATGCTAATTTTAAGCTAATGCATGTATTTCTTTCATAATCTGTATATACTTGTCTTGGAATGTGTGTGGAATTACAAGCCAAAGACAAATTTCTGTCATAACGACGCATGGTAGACTACAATATATATGTATTCTATTCAAATGGAAAATGAAAAAAAAATAATGTAAACAACCCAGAACAGAGCGACAGATAATTTATTTTGTATTTGAATCAAGATTTGAGGTTTAAATAATACCCAATGAGTATTAAATGTTAATTCTGATGTGTTTTTTTAAATACAGAGCCTTGTTGATGCAGTACAGAGGAAAGGGGGTTGGTTGGTTTATTATTTTACTGGCGGTGGGGTATAGGGGCATTTCCGATCAGCTGGCAGGACCATACTCAACTATGGCAATAACAGAGCCGCCCCCCACTGTGCTATGGGACATATGAAACCACATGGACCACCCCACTTCAACAAGAGCCACCCAGGACCAGCCCCACAACCGCAGTGAGTAGACTCCTATTATTTTTCAATCATTAACAAATATTTAATCCCCTACTTATATGACAAGAAAATAATCAAACATCACAAGCAAGTATGGTTTTGTGTTATTTTGTAGGTAGAAAACTTGTTTTGGCTCATTTTGTTCATCAAATATAATGTAATGCAAATAATGGATTAATGGCTGACAACTCTAAAGAAATGAAGCTAAAGCTGAGGTTTAGACTGGAAGACTGGAGAAACTACACTGGCAATCCTCACCTGGCAGTGTTTAAGCACTGCCCTGAGCTTTCATATCATACAGAAAGCTTTCATTTGTGCAGCAACCCTCCTCCTCCCCATCAGCCAGAGCTTCATTCCTTCTTAGCTGACACCACCAGGGTCCAGGCCCCGGGGGACTTAATCTCATATTCTCTATTTTCATTTTACCTTCTGCATTCATCATGCGTTTCTGCAGTCTTCCGTGTTAATTTACGTAGTGACAGATTACTATGGCAACCAATACATAATATTCTAATACCCCCCTTTTGTCTGTTTGAGTCTCTCCAGATTTATGTAGTAATATACTGATCTAACACATGTTCAGGTTAATAAAGATATATTCTATGAAACTGTAAGTGTGATGTCAAAGCTCATCTTTAAACAGAAAACATACAGACACAATAAGATTTGGTAAAATATATACTTTTATTTTATTTCTTCATACAAAGAAATATTATGAATGTTCAGTATTTAATCTTCTAGAAACATCTCTCCCATGTCACTCTTGCTTTGTGTAAAAGTTATTCCTTTGATGTACATACCACAAAATACTGGATTTACATGTCCTCTTTGCACATACTGATCTGCTAAGCTAAGTTATATGCAGGTAAAACAAACATCGTCTAATGTTTTAGATCTTAACATCATGGCTGAATAAAACTCAACCGTAACAGACGCAGATTTCAGTATTTATAGATTTCACAATAGCTTTCTCCTTCCATCACTGGGACTTTGTTTATTTTTCTAGGTACAGACCATCATAAATGCTTTCTTCTGATTCAAACATTGCACTAAAAAGGAGAGGAGGTGATGGAGGTCGTCGGCTGATTCACTTTAAAACCATTTTAAAGTACAACAGGCGAATCCTCCATGACCGCCCATCTCAGACATTGGTTTGAGGTTACCCCAGTCTATATGGTTACAACAACAACATGGCTGACATTGTGAAGTGTTTTGGCTGAACGGTGAAAGAGGCACAACATTTTCCAATATAAAAAAGTAAAATTGAACAGTGATTTGTGGTAGCAATGGTGTACATTCAATAACAAAAAAACAAAAAACTAGTAAAAATCCCTTTACTGTGATCCCAACCAGAGATGCATAGCTCAATGTAGCGCCCTTAAAACACGTTGAAAAAACTACTACGCACTTATCTCTGTCTTGCATATCAAAAATTCAAGTAGAAACATGATAATGCGTGAGTGAATACAGTTAGCGTAATGTGAACCGGGAGCTTTTTTGGCAACATATATATATATATAGTTGATTTGAGATGTTTTTTTTGAAAAGCAGACATCGATGCGGGAGAATGACATGGGAATTATAAGGCATTAATAGCACCAGCCGCGGAGGATGGTACAGCGTGACAAAAGGGAAAACCGGAATCTTTAATCTTAACTGACACACCGCACTACTGCATTCATCCCTTTTATAAGCTTGCATTGGTTTTAAGCTCTAATATATTAAACATCTAGCAAACAATGTATTTTATGTAGCAGCCAAGAAACTGGGCGAAAGAGGAACAAGCATGACTTCATGATTGATAAAACATTGCCTTTTTCTTGTAGTTGGGTTGAAATCGAACAAAAACGGCGTGGAACCAGGGCTGTTGCTAAGTTTTTGGGGGCCCTGTGCAGTATTTTACAAGGGGGGCTCTTACTTCCAACATTCATATACTGGTAATTGCTTATATGGTGCATGTCATAAGGATTTTATGAAGTTGGATTGGTTTAAATAAATATGTTATGTTTAATTATTTTCTTGTGAGGGCCCCCTAGTGACCAGTCAAGTTTTGAGCCATCTGCATACACATTTACCACGGATAAAACAGTCTAATAGATTAAAGTCCTGCTCGGCATATGAGGCTTTTAAAGGAATTTCTTATCTCCTTGCAGGATGGGAAAACCTCCGCAGTGGAATTAGATTAAATGGGATCGGCTCTAAATACCCCCACTAAATGAAATGACTATCAGTAAAATTTGATTCAGACGTTGCGTGACCTCTGATCTGCGCAGAAAGGGCAGGAGCCTGGATCGGTGCCAGTCCTGCTCCTAATGAAAAGTACGCTAACGGAGTGTATCGATCAGCTGGTTACCTCTACGAGATTAGCATAGCGCTAACACGACTTGGATACATAGATAGATTTGGAGCTTGATGGATGGATGGTTCATTGGAGCAGGCGGTTGGAGCACTCTGAATGAGAGGGCAGCTGTATTCTTTAAGCAGAAGTGACACAATGAGGATCAATTAGGGCTATTGATCAACTTGCGATGGAGTGGACAGGGACCCGAGCGCTGTGAGGGGAGATGGACGCGCCACAGATGTGAAATGCTTTAGAAAGATGCACTTAGAGTAATGTGATGAGGAAATGATCAAGTCAAAACGTGTATGGACTCCTCTGTGAGCGCTCTGTACCCGTAATATGGTGCTTTTTACGTGTTATAACTTCAGTCTGCGCTGATTATCTGCATTTCTTAAAAAGCACCATTCAATTCACTGAGTTGACAGGACAACAAGAGAGGACCACACGAGAATACAAAATGGAGGAATGTTTCAAAACAAGACACAAGGGCCAGATGTTATGTACAAATATGGTTAGGCAGCTTAGTGAATTAATTGCTTAGAAATAAAAAATAAATTATTATAAAATAGATTTCTGTACATTTTACATATATATAGCAATCTCCACATTTTGCCATGGTTTAAAACAGAAAAATAATAAAAACGTAGTCCTGTGATTTCACATCAATCCCAACCAAAGTGATGTCCGGTCATCTGGTAGAACTTGAGGTTGAAGGGCCGGTAGAAGTCCCGTAGCCTGCGCACCACCTCGGGGTGGATGTTGGGGTGGGTCCGCCCTTTGGTCTTGCCCAGGCAGTGGGGTTTGCTGCTGCCCTCGGCCTTCTTCAGACACGGGAAGCCCTTGGTCTGGTTAAAGTAAAAGTGTTTGTCCGTGATGATGCGTTTGAGTCGCAGAAAGTCCTGCACGCGGCCCAGCTCTCCGGCCGGGTCGCTGATGAGCCGCTCGCCGCTCACGAACAGCAGCTGCTCCATGGGGAAGTGCTGCAGCCAGTTGTCCAAGTGCTTGGCGTAAATACCGATCTGCACTGCGCTCCACGAGGTGTCGATCAGGCCCGTAGTCCTGTTTTTGAACGTCAGGCTCTCGAAAGACGGGATGTCAGGCTTTTTGGACAGAGTCTGCGTGTAGTCCGAGATGGCTCTGGTCACCGGGTCACGCACCACCACGATGAGTTTGGTTTTCCGGGACATGGCGGCGATGCGGGCCGGAGCCTCTCTGGTCACAAAGTAGCTGGGGGTCTTCTCCATGGTGATCTGGCCCTCTAAAGTCTTGGGCATCAGCTCTCTGCACACACAAACACATAATAGAAGGTTAGGACTGCGATCATCAACATACATTTTTTTTACAAGAAGCTCCCCACACCCCATTTCAAAAAGCTTTTTAACCCTTAAATGTTTAATCCTTGAAGAAGGAATGTCATTTTTTATTTTCTAAGCTGTAGGAGCTGTTTTTTTTTTTTTTTTTTTGAATCCTAGTTTTTCTTTTTATATATTATAGGCCTCTACCAAATACTTTGCAGTTTTATGGTAAAAGTGCCTAAAACCAAGTGATACAGATACCCCAATAAAGTAGATTTCAGTTCCAAGCTCCAAGTTGATATAGTTGATACATATCACTCAAAAGTGATCCACCAAATGGTTAAGGGTTAAGGTGTCTGGCCCCAAACAAAGCAGATCTCTTCCCTTTTGGTTCTGTAAAACTCACTCGCAGAATGGAAAAGGTTGTATTCCAATGGGTTAGCAGGAGGGTACGGACTATGCATAATGTAATCAGTTTGATGGAGTGCACTGGGTTCTGTAATCAATGACTCACTGGGCCTGTTTAGCCTTATTACAGCGCGGCTCAAAAGGCTATTAGTGCAGGCTGTGCTCCAACGTCAACACGCTCAATCACTCAAACAATATCTCCGTCCTGACGCGCAGCAGGCGGACCACAGACAGCACTTATTTGACTCTGACGTCGCCGTAATCTGCGTTTGAGGGAGTGACCGGGGTTGTGGTCCGTTGATATGAACACAAGACTAACTAATGTAAGCAGAAGGAATTGCGCCATTGTTTCTTGGTCGGTTGGAAGGGTCATGTTAACATTTTGGACTTTTTCGTTGTAATGCAATAGGTTTAGGGTTGATTCATGACTGCAACAATTGTTTGACAGTGTGGGAACTAACAACATTTGAATAAATGTATTTGTCATAAATATATTGGCACTAATGTTATTGTTACAAAGTCTTCTACTACTAAACGTTGACCAGAAAAAGAGGGTGTGGATTTATAGAAAAGCAGTGTGTATAATTTAAAATTCAGAAAACACCGTAAAAAACGCTGTCATTTCTGAATGAAATTAAGGGAGTCAATTTGAATCTCGGACTATTCCAGGACATTCTTAAAGCAGGTCAAAAATGTTTTTACTGGAACATCCCACAGACAGTTCATCACAAAACCGAGAGCAATGTTGATTATCCGTCTCAAACTCTTTCTCTACATGAATTCCCAACATATCCCATCCTTTCTCCATCCGGCCTCCATCCTTCCAGACCTCACAACTCGATGTAACATTTCAAAGTTTCTCTCGCACAAAAATATACAACTGGAAATTGCCACGCTGCTTGTCTTTCAACGCTGCCCCGCCAAGGAACATGTTTTTGGACAGAGCCGGTCCTCGTTTTGGGTGAGGACTGGTGGATTTGTTACACCCAAACGTATCATTAGGCAGCACTTGAGAAGCTGCGTAGGGGAAAGTGAACATGCCCCGCTCTTTCGGGTTTGGGTTTCAGACGTGGAGGCCAACTGTGAAGTGTAGATTATAATGGAGGAGATAAGAGACGCTGGTACACGGATCGCTTTTCTGGACTTGGCCCTGGTTCTGTGGAGGTGTACTGTATCGAATATGGTTTCGGGAGCGGTTTCAACAACTCCATGCGGTAGACGATAACATCTACCAATTACCAGAGGTGGGAAGGAACCGAATGTGTTTATTTGGGGAATACCTTAAATTTACTCATAAACATGCATTTTCCCTAAACCTCTATCTACAGTATATATCATTGCATTTGTTTCAAAATGTTTTACAAATCAAACTGTATTGTTAGATGTGGTTAAAGTGAGACTAACAATACGAACATTATACCCAATAGGTCAATCACAACTTATTCTGATGGGCATTATTATTATTATGAAAAATTATTGCCAAAATGATAATGAAAATACTATTTCCCACTGACAGATTTTTTTTATCTATCCATTTCTTAAAGACATGCGCAATGACAATAATATTAAAAAAAATATATATATATATATTTAAACCCACTTACAACTGTAATGGTGGTAATTTATGCATTCAACAAGGTTTAGTATGGCCTTTTTGTATCGTTTTGAACTAATGATTTGGGTTTCTTGCGACAAACATAGCTTTGTGTAGCAATTCCCCTCAGAGTGTCCAAGCATAGCCGTAACAGGCAGAGGCAAAGTGAGATAACCTGGGTCAGTGGTGTATCGGGCTTCACACTCCCTGATAAGAGCTGGTGCTAAGACAGTGGCTCTGGTTCGCCATTGTGCCGGCTTCACTTCTGTAATCCCATTCTAACACCGGCTAATCGCTACAAAATGTATTTGCGTTTGTGGTCGGGGACATTTACAGCAGTGTGACTCCCCTGAAAGCAAATAGGACTGATTACCCAGAATCAATACAGCAATTAAATGAACAAATTTGAGATTAGATACAAGACTAAATGCTTATTGGGCTAAATGAACCCAATTTGTTCAAGCAGTTTGCTCTCAAGTTTAACGATGTAGAAACATGTCTTTCTCATCGTTGAATAGAAATAGCCCAATACGTTTCAATAGACCATGAAACAAAAGCTTTTATTTGGGATTCCCAAAATGATCCATTTTAAAGCTAGAGTGCCTGACTTTCAAAGCACAAAAAAATCAACAGTAATATCCATCTCGCTCTCAAAAATCTTGATTCTATTGCTAGTTTTCATATGTATTTTTTGCCTCTGTTGCATCTTTAAATTTTCTTTTTCCGACAGAAAAGTGAAAAAGAGAGTCCCAAACCGTCAACTAGTGACTTACAGGGCTCTTTCTTACACAGATGAAGATAGCTGCACATGTGTTATTTATGAAACTACAACAATACAATAGGTGCCCTAGCTTTAACACAGGCTACGTTATAAAAACTCCAAGGCTGGACACAAAGAAATAGTTGCCTTTAAAACGGCATCCAATGTAAAAATGCATAACCCCCCCCCACTAACAATCTCTGCTAACAACCCACAAGACTCTGGGGTCTAAAAATGCTTTCTCAACCCCAACGCCTGTTCTATAGAAGCCACTCTAAAAGCCTGAATCTAGTTCATGTCCATTGCCCCCATGTCTAATTCATGCGGGCTCCATTGGCGTGTGAATATTTGCGAGCGAGAAACACCCTTTTCAAACCAGGAAATGAACAAGACTGACAAGAAAAGACCTTGGGTAATTTTAGGTAAGTAATAAAATGGCTTGTAAAACGGTGTTGGCAGATTTGTGTAATCCTAATGCAGTGCCAGTGATCTAATTATGATAATATGGTCTTGATTGCTGACACATCAGAGGGGTGAATGGAAGAGTCGATGCGGGGAAGCCAAGCAGTTCGCGAAAAGCTCATTAATACGACATTGCAATCAAAACGAGCAGAGCATGATGCCATTTTATGCAAGTCCATGGTTCATTTTTGTGCCAATATCAACATTATTTGAATTTCGGGACTGTCGAAGTGGTATGTTCAAGAAATAAACAACTTGTTCTTTTTAGGGGGGGGAGGAACAATACCGATCTGTCTCGCAAACGTTTTGTTATTTCGCACGCTGACGTCTAAAAAGGAGTCAAATGGCTTCGAGTTTAATCCGATTTCGAGAAGACAATGCAATGGAAAGGCAGCAGAAAGGAGGGGTCTGAGTTACAATGTGCATAGTGATAGATTATGCTTATCCGTGCTTTGGGTATCCTGCTTCCAAAAAAACCAAGAGTTGGGGGTTGCACTGGGCATAAAACATGGGAGTCGCTTTCTTGGACAGCTTGGGAAAAAGAAAGAATTCGGTGAGGAAATAGTCCTTAAAAAAGGCGCCAAATTAGCAGAAAAGAAAAGCAATAAAACCGGCACCTTTGACATGAGCTAGTGTCTTGGTTAATGGCTGGAGATGAGTTGTTGAAGAGGCAGGAAAAAGACACAAAGGTGAAAAGTGGTGTTTGGAAAAACAATAGCTATTCTGGTCCGGCGTGATTTATTAGGCCGCTGCTTTTCGGAGATTCCCTTAACAAACAGGCAGTTCTGTGACACCGCGGCAAGAGCCCTTTTCTGCTGCTTTTTTTTCCTTTGAAAGTGAGCTATTGTCCTGGGGGCGAAGGGCCGGGTGGGTGAGAGGGGAAGGGTGACACAGGGCGGGTGGGGAGAGGAGAGAGAAGGAGAGAAGTGCTTATCTCTGCTTGGAGTGGGCCACTTCTGTACCCACTCGGGGTCCACACAGGGGAGATGTTTGAAGAGCTCTTGAGTAGAACGAGTGCCCAAATGACTCAACATGAACCAGGCCAGGGAGAATGAAACCAAAAGAGCTAAACAACCTTTAAGAAACGGGATTTAACAACTGCGTTTCTTGACAAATGATTTATGGGGGGGAGACTGGGTGGCCTCAGTGGAATACAGGATTACCAATTCGTAAGTTCTCCTGCCTGACAAAAAGTAGTGAAAAGGCCAGAAGTAGAGGGTGAAATGTAATGATATTGCTGCTAAAACCTGTTTGTATAATGTTAAGGCTGTGATTTGGGTATTGGAGAGTGAATGACTGAAAACTTTATTAACTAATGGTACTTTGATGTGGATTTGCACCTTAACCAGATCGCTTACAGTCATTTTAGTTCAGATTATGCTTATCTCATATATAAATCTCCCACCTCTAGCTGGAAGACAGATGTGTAAACGTTAGCAAGAATTTCAAGCTCAATTTATTGAGCCTTGAAACTTTGTTTTATTGAAACTTGATAAAGTTTTAGATCAAGCCATCTCGTCGGAAGACCTGCATGCAAGAGTGTGTTTTAGCTTTCACAAATGGCGATGAAAGTTTTAAGAAGACTTCAAAAGGAAGAGGATTTATTTCCATCGCGCCAAAACTACATATGGAGTGAAAGAGTGAAACTACATTCTGACTTGTAACATTATCTGTCGGAGGCGGTTCAGAGGTTGAAAACATTTATTCAAATCTCGACAAGAGGACTTTGCTTCATCTTATAAAAATATCTTTAAACATGCAG